TCTGGGACCTGTGCGGTGTTTGGCGCTCGTGGAACCTGTGGTGCGTCTGGGGCCTGAGGCTTTTATGTCCCGCTCGCCGGTCCACAACCCTCGGGAGACATGACTCCCAAAGCCTAGGGACATAACCACGTCTCCCGAACTAGGTTCGATCTTCGTCCTTCTGCTCCTCTTCCTCCTCCAACTGCTCCTCGTTCCTTACTTCTCCTGCTCCTGCTACTGATCTAGGATCCTGGATGATTTTCATCCTCGCTGCACTTTCCTCCTCGCTGCTCTTTCTTTTTTCTCCTCCTCCTCCTCGATCTTCGTCCCCTTCCTCCAGCTGTTCGTTCTCCTCCTCCTCGTCCTTCTCCTCCCCCTTGTTTTTTTCGTCCTACAGCCCTAGAAACGTGTGCCTGTGGCGCCATTGACATGCAACGGCGGTGCAGAGAGAGGCGGCAAGACGAGACTCCTCCTCCTCCTCCTGCTCCTCATCCTCCTCCTGTCCCGCTTCCTCGACCCTCTTTCTCGCCACCCTTTCCACCCTCCCCGGTCCTGCGGCCTCCTGCTGCTGCCCCCCTCCCCCCCGACGGGCCGAGAAGGGCAACGGCGCGGCGCCCTTCAGGTGCTCGCCCGGGCTACTGGCGGGGGGCGAGGGGTTGGCTTCTTTCCGCCGCTCGCCGCCGCACGCCGCCGCACCCCGCTAACGCAAGCCGCCAACGTCGTCGTCGTCGTCGTCGTCGTCGTCGTCGCCGTCTTCGTCGTAAACGTTGTGGTCGTCGTCGTCGTCGTCGTCGTCGTCGTCGTCGTCGTCGTCTTCGTCGTCGTCGTCGTTGTTGCCGTCGTCGTCATAGTCGCCGTCATAGTCGCCGCCGCCGCGGCCGCCAACGTCGTCGTCGCCTTCGTCTTCGTCGGCGTCGTCGTCGGCAGGGAGGGGGTTCAAGGATGTAAGGATGTCGCAGACAGAGGGGCGGAGGGTACTGAGGGCACTGACTATGCGGGTGCTGCAAGGTGCCCATCGCCTCGCAACTACAAGCTCAGCCCGCTCATCGGGCGAGGCAGAACCGTGCAAGTGAGCGACGCTGGTGGCGTCAAGGCCCAAGAGGCGAAGCAGGCGTCCCCCTGCCTGCTGTCCCTCCTCTCCAGTCGCGGGGATCACGCTCCCCGCTGGCGTCGAGCCACCTGTCGACCCTTGCTCTCTTACAGCTCCGCTGTCTAGGGACTCGGCAGCGGCACCAGCAACAGCAGGCTCAAGCTGAGCCCCCAAACAGCTCTCATTTCCAGGGTCGGTCCATGAGCCAAGCCTGTGAAACTTACCCACCGGTCGGAAGAAGTAGGTAGAAACATGAAGTAGGAAGGCGGAAGAAGTAGATTGCATTCGGGGCCGCCCAAAAAAAACAACAGCAACAACAATTACAAGAAATAGATTACAAATGTCCGGGCCCTGTCTTAGCGGCGCGCAGTAGCGCTAGGTCGCTGGGCTCCTCGGATGGCCCCATTCCTTGGCTGGTTTCGGTTGTTCTGGTTTTTTGTCGTTTGTCCGCCGATCGCACTGGCAGCCTTTCGGTCGCTCGGCCCCTCGGCTGGCCAAATGCGTTGGTTTTGTTTGTTTTTGTTTGTTTTCGCTTGTCCGTCGGCTGCACTGGTCGCCCCAGGCCCGCCCGCCGCCTTTCGGTCGCTCGGCCCCTCGGCTGGCCCAATTCACTGGTTTTGTTTGTGTTTGTTTGTGTTCGCTTGTCCGTCGGCTGCACTGGTCGCCCCAGGCTCGCCCGCCGCCCCGCGGTCGCTCGGCCCCTCGGCTGGCTCCTTTCCACCGTTTTGTTTGTATTTGTTTGTTTTCGCCTGTCCGTCGGCTGCACTGGTCGCCCCAGGCTCGCCGTCCGCCCCGCGGGCGCTCGGCCCCTCGGCTGGCTCGTTTCCACCGTTTTGTTTGTTTTTGTTTGTTTTCGCCTGTCCGTCGGCTGCACTGGTCGCCTCAGGCTCGCCCGCCGCCCCGCGGTCGCTCGGCCCCTCGGCTGGCCCCATTCCTTTGTTTTGTTTGTATTTGTTTGTTTTCACTTGTCCGTCGGCTGCACTGGTCGTCTCAGGCCCGCCCGCCGCCCCGCGGTCGCTCGGCCCCTCGGCTGGCCCCATTCCCTGGTTTTGTTTGCTTTGTTTGTCTTCGCTTGTCTGTCGGCTGCACTGGTCGCCCCAGGCTCGCCCGCCACCCCGCGGTCGCTCGGCCCCTCGGCTGGCCCCATTCCCTGGCTTTCTTTGTTTCTGTTTGTTTTCGCTTGTCCGTCGGCTGCACTGGTCGTCTCAGGCTCGCCCGCCGCCCCGCGGGCGCTCGGCCCCTCGGCTGGCCACATGAATTGGTTTTGTTTGTTTTTGTTTGTTTTCGCTTGTCCGTCGGCTGCACTGGCCGCCCCGGGCTCGCCCGCCGCTGTTCGGTCGCTCGGCCCCTCGGCTGGCCCAATTCCCTGATATGCTCTGTTGTTGTTCGTCTTCGCTTGTCCGTCGGCTGCACTGGTCGCCCCAGGTTCGCCCGCCGCCCCGCGGTCGCTCGGCCCCTCGGCTGGCCCCTTTCCACCGTTTCGTTTGTTTTTGTTTGTTTTCGCTTGTCCGTCGGCTGCACTGGTCGCCTCAGGTTCGCCCGCCGCCCCGCGGGCGCTCGGCCCCTCGGCTGGCCAAATCCACTGATTTTGTTTGTTTTTGTTTGTTTTCGCTTGTCCGCCGGCTGCGCTGGTCGCCCCAGGTTCGCCCGCCGCCCCGCGGGCGCTCGGCCCCTCGGCTGTCCCAATTCACTGGTTTTGTTTGTTTTAGTTTGTTTTCGCTTGTCCGTCGGCTGCACTGGTCGCCCCAGGCCCGCCCGCCGCCCCGCGGTCGCTCGGCCCCTCGGCTGGCCCCATTCATTGGTTTTGTTTGTTGTTGATTGTTTTAGCTTGTCCGTCGGCTGCGCTGGTCGCCCCAGGCCCGCCCGCCGCCGCTCGGTCGCTCGGCCCCTCGGCTGGCCCAATTCACTGGTTTTGTTTGTATGTGTTTGTCTTCGCTTGTCCGTCGGCTGCGCTGGTCGCCCTGCGCACGCCCGCCGCCTTTCGGTCGCTCGGCCCCTCGGCTGGCCCCTGTCCCTTGTCTTTGTTTGTTTCCTTTTGTTTTCGCTTGTCCGTCGGCTGCGCTGGTCGCCCCAGGCTCGCCCGCCGCCCCGCGGTCGCTCGGCCCCTCGGCTGGCCAAATGCATTGGTTTTGTTTGTTTTTTGATTGTTTTCGCTTGTCCGTCGGCTGCGCTGGTCGCCCCGAGCCCGTCCGCCGCCGTTCGGTCGCTCGGCCCCCCGGCTGGCCCAATTCACTGGTTTTGTTTGTATGTGTCGGCTGACCCCATTCCCTGGCTTTCTTTGTTTTTGTTTGTTTTCGCTTGTCCTGCACTGGTCGCCCCAGGTTCGCCCGCCGCCCGCCCCGCGGGCG